CATTGCCTCCCGCCCCTCCTACATTCCAGGACATGATTTTGAAATTAGAGGACTGATTATTATACATTAAAAGGCGTTAAATGAAAAAAGGAAGAAGAAAGAAAATGGATTTGACGAAAAGCCGCATTAGGATAGAATTTGAGTTTCCGTCGCGGAATTCTCCAATTTCGATATATTCTTATCCTCCTGTCTAGCATCCCCTTGTTCCTCCGGTGATTGGGGACTTTTGGCTGCACTGGTCCAAGCTTCAATCTCCTGCAAAGTAAGAGAGGCTAGATGACGTCTCGCTTTATTCTTCCTCTCCTTAACCGCCGTCCAGATCTGGAGCGCTTTCGCAGAGACCGGTCTCGGGGACTTCTTTGGGGACTTTTTCTTTTTCTGGGATTTGAGACTCTTCGTTCTGGCTGTCGCTGACAGAATATCAGTCTCCTCTGCCCTTTGTTTGTGCGACTCGTACTGAGAGACGGTCACTATTTCAATGGTTGTATTGTTGGGGCCAGCCACCGAAACTGTTGTGGGAGGTTTGGGTCCGGATTCCTGATCTTAGACGAGGAAGGATCTTTGTTGTTGGGGCCCATCCCACAGCTAAGTCCAGGCCCACTAGGTGTCACTTTTGACGAGCCGTAATGGCCGAAGTTAGAAGCTTTTGGGTTGTTACTGGCCCAATTCGGTTGAGATCCAAGAATGCCTTTACCATTCTGATTTGCTGACTGGGCTTCTGAACCGTTTCTGCCTTTCCCCTTTTGAGTGCTCGCTTGGCCCTTATCCTTGTCAAAGGTTCCCTTTTTTGTACTTACCATTTTTTGTATCGGACCTTCATTTAGATCCTTTGTAGAACCGTTGTGGGTTTCCATACCTTTCTAATTTAGTTTTCCTTTTCCATCTCTATTGTTGGTTGTCGAATCTCCTTTATTCTGGGTTGAGTTGCCATTTTCAGGAACACGATTTCCCCGCCGAGAACGCCGCGTCACCTGCATCCATGGGCCGAATCCCGATCTCTCCTCCGGCACCGCCGCTGAACTAGTTGCCAGTGTGATTCCTCCGGCACCGGTGAGATTAGGTTGAGCAGCCGCAATTTGAGCAGGACAGTTTGACGTCGCGTGGCCGATCTTTCCGCATTCGAAGCATACTGTAGGGAGATTTTCATATTCCACATATTGACATTGTCCGTCCAATCTCACCCGAGTTACCAACGGTTTTGATAAATCCAATTCAACAGCATTCCGGGAAAACCTGACTCTATGCTGGTGAAGCGTATGATAATCCAGCTTGATGGCTCTGCCTATCATGTTTCCCAGGAGAAGAGGATTTCTTTGTGATAGAAATGAATCGGAAAAGCCGGCAGCTGAACCCACACCACCATGGATTTCGGCAGATTGTCAGATAGCCTGAACGCCGGTGTCCATTGCTGAACGACCAAATAGTGATCGAAGATTACCCAGGGACCTTCGGTCAAAGCTTTAAAATAGTCGGTGTCGTTGCTAAGTTTCACAAGGAAGCATCTTTGTCCCAACGCCATGATTTCTAGAGATCCAGTTGGTCTCCATAAAGCTTTGATGCGGTTGCAGAACGTGATGTATGAGATGTCCAGGCCGACCGCTCTCACCACCAGCGTACGCTGCCATGGGGTACATAACCTTTCCTTGAAGCCATAAGAGATCTTCAGCTCGCCGTTAAAAGTACTGGTTACTAGATCGTGCTCACCGACGGGAGTCCAGGTAATCATAGCGCTAGAGCCTTCAGGGCTCTGACCTGCTACCGCTTTCGCATACGACAGAGGAGATGATGTGGTTGGTTGTGAAGGAGCCTACTCTTTCGGTTGCCCGTCCACGATCATACTCGTCATCTCGGATGTAATGGAGTTCCTTTCAATTGCCATGGGTTGTCCACCGTCCGGCGGCCGACCCGGAGAGATGTTGTCAGACGTCGGTGTTTGACTCAGAGGATTCAGAGAGAGCATTCTAACCGTGTGTAGTGTGTATAATTATGTTTAGTCCTTATTTAATTAGTATTATCTTTTCTATTCAGTTTGAGATTTGTTTTACTATTCCTTTTAGGTTAAACTTATGTTTTTGTGACCTCTATAAATAGAATGCGTAAGGACTACGAATTTTGTACCCAAGACCCAATATTCAGAAATCAATTCAAGAGTTTTACTCGAGTTCCATAGGAACGTTTTGTGCAAGCTTCTGTCGAGAGTCTGCAGGAGTTTCGCGTGTCTCTTATCAACTAGAGAACACGTCTAGTTGTGGTGAGCATCTACCATATATCAATTGCCCCTTTCCACGAGTTGATTCTGTCCGATTGGTTTATTATACCAATTGCCCTTTGTCACAAGTTGGGATTGTCCAATTGGTTTCATCCTATCCTTTATTTTCGAGTTCAAGAAAGGCGACATTCAGAAAATCATAAAAAGATCGTTGAAGCTGCGTAGTTAGGTCATATCATCTGAGTTCAAGGGTTCTCTTCGGATTTGGATCATATCAAGTGGTATCAGAGGCCGGTTCAAACTCAGTGGCGATTTGAAGATTACAGGTTCAAACTCAGCGACAAAATAAATAAAAAACAGTATTTCAATTTCAGTTTTTATTTATTTATTGTGAGAGGGATTTCTAGAAAAGCCAAAAAAAGGAAAAAAAAAATAAAAAAAAGAGGTTTGTGTGCGTTACGGTAGGAAAAAAAAGTCTTTTTCATTTAAGTTGAAAGTTATGTATTAATGTCACGTGTGTAATAGAAAGAAAAAAAATATATAACCAAAAAAAGAAAGAAAGAAAAAGAAAGTTGCTGTGTCTTTCTTCTTTATTAACATGTGTAGTTAGTAAAAGGAGTAAAAAATGTTTTGTTTGTCTCTTTAATTGTATACGTGAGTAGTTAAAAAGGTAAAAAATAAATCAAAACAAAACAAAAAAATTGTTATACAATCACAAAACTGTACGCGGGAGAAAAGAGAAAAAAAAATATTGTGGTTTTGGTTTTGTTTTTATTGTTCTTGTTAGCTCTTGTAAATCAAGGATGGAGCAAAGTCAACGATTGATGTAGATGATGAAGCAAGCGATCACGACGATAGAAGTTATTCTTCAAGGGTAAGCACGAACGACAGAATGATGGGACACCAAACTTGCTCGATTGGAAGCTTTATTGGGAATTAATGCGCCAGCAATGGTAATCCAACCCGAAACTCCTTTGCTTATAGGAAATCTAAATCCAGAGCAAGATCAACCGTTTGAGGCTATCATTGAGATACAAGAGAGAAATCCACAAGTTGATATTGAGAGTCAAGCATATCAACTACAAGATATTCATCGCACCACGACGTCAACATTAGTTGAAGAGAAGAAAGAAGATGTTCTTGTTGATATGCCAGAGTTGGGTCATTTGAAGTTGATCAATTCAATGAGGAACAAGAATTAACTAGAGAGGATGAATGCATGAAAATTCCGGAGGATTAATCAATTGTTCCAGAATATGATCATATTGACTTTGTGATTGGAGAATCAATAAATGAAGATGAAGCCCCCAAGGAAAATCGACGAGAAGTTCTGAGCTACATAGAAAATTTTCCTCGTTGTGATGTCTCTACAAGCCCCCAAGGAAAATCGACAAGATATTCATCGAATTGTCTTTAAGAAGGGGAGAATGATACATTTATCACTATCAAGACAAATTGGTTCGAAAGCCAAGAAGAGTGATGCTCATGAGAGATCGAGATTCTATAAAGATCGAGGTCGAATCTTTTCAAGAGAGAGAGAATTATGTGGTATCGACTAGCACGGCATTTAATCCCCATTGTCCAAAAATGAAGAGTCGGATTTGACGATTTAAAGATCAATTGTGACCGTTCTTAATGGATTTTTTGCCTGATTATCCAAGCCCGTCCACGTTAACCAGTAGCATAGATTAAAGTGGGAGTTGGTTCATTAATTATTAATTGAAGTTTGGAAAGAAATTTAGTCCATGTCGCCTTCTGAAACGTGCACCTGCGGACATAGCACGTGCATTTTGGAGGGAAGAATTCGAGCCAAGGAGAATACTTCTCGCCTTCTTGATTTCCTTGTGGGGCTGCATGAGAGTTTTGGTACAATACGTAGTCAAATACTGACTATGAAGCCTTCACCGACCGTCCCCTGAAGCAGCCACTGATCGGCGCACCTTCAAAGTGGCTATATTTGGTATTTCGTCAAAAGTGACTATATTTGACAAAACCGTCAAAGTTTTGGCTTGTATTTGACCTAAAATAAATTATATATGCATAAATCAAAATCAGTTATACTTGATCCAACTATACCACTTATTTAACCCTCCGGAGAAATGGAAGCTCATTTCATCCTACATTTTAGTACCGGACTCTTTCTCCCCCTTTTCTTCAACAAACAAGCAGGATTTCATTTGTTTTCGCCTTTTCAGTTGGGGTTATTTTCTCCCCTTTTTCTTATCAACTTTTTTTTTTTTTCTGAATGCGAAGCCACAAACAAAACAGAAAGGAAACAGAGCCCCGTCTTCGTTTGGAGCTGGTGAGTTATTATCCAGAGAGGGGAAAGTGTGAGCCTAGTCGCCTACTAAAACCCTTCTGCAAATACTCCATTTAGAATTTGGTAGAGGCATTGGACTGGAAGCTGCGGCAACCAAATGCTGCGAGGGATTGACTTGTTCCGCACTGTTTCTACGGCTGCTGCTCTGCAATTCACGCAGGTTTCTTCTCTTATCTTCTCTTTTTTGAATTCTTCCTCCAGTCTTCCCCTTTTCTTCCGCATGAACGACTTGTCAAATGGCTTCCTCGCTCAGCTCTTTCTGCATTTGACGATTCCCCTGTGCTCTCTTCACCAAACATGGCTGATTCCTGTCTCTCCGAGTAATTTCGCGAACTGGGTCGGGTGTTTTCACTGAAAATCATTGGTTGTCTTGGTCATTAACAGGTCCAGGAAGTGAATTCGTCCGCATAGGGAGACAGGGAAGCTTACCTTCTTATTTTATTGGAGCTGTAATCGTTGAACGACTCTAAGATGGCTTGCGTTTCGCCATATTGCACGCCTACTGATACTCGAACTCCAGCGAGAATCTTGACGGTTCTCCGAGGGGGAGTGTCCAAGGAGAATCATTTGCTCGCGGGTAGAGCCAGCAGCAGCTCGGTTAAGCTCGCTGATGATAAGAATAGGTTTCTGGGTGCTGGCCAGAAGTCGACTTTCCCTATCATCAGAAGTTCAACTAACTCTCACAGTGTCAGTCCTTATCATAACAAAGACCCTTTTCTAGATCTGCATCCTGAGGTATCGTTACTCAGAGGTGAAGGAAACAGTGCAGTTTCAGTCCCGAGGAAGGATTCTCCATGCGGCAATCTCACGGATAGCTTAGTAGATCAGTCTACCGCAAGAAATTCCAGTGAAGCTAAGATCAAAGTTGTTGGTGTTGGAGGGGGTGGGTCGAATGCAGTCAATCGCATGATTGAGAGCTCAATGAAGGGCGTGGAATTTTGGATTGTCAATACAGATATTCAGGCCATGAGGATGTCTCCTGTATATCCAGAGAACCGTTTGCAAATTGGTCTGGAACTAACTAGAGGTCTTGGAGCTGGTGGTAACCCGGAGATTGGAACTAATGCTGCCAAAGAGAGCAAAGAGACGATAGAAGAAGCACTGAATGGAGCAGACATGGTTTTTGTCACAGTAAGTCCAATATCTAGTACTGCATTATTGTTTTTGCCGCAAACAATCGTCTCTGGTGGTAATTCAGGTTGGAAAGTCATTCATTTATCTCAATTGTCTCTTCAGCATCGTTCACAATTAGTCTTGAGCATAGGTGAAAAACCAAAGAGTGCAAGTTTGCTTTATCTTTGATATTGCTTTCTTCATTGGTGCATTTGGGCTTCTTTCTACATGCAGGCTGGAATGGGTGGAGGAACTGGTACTGGCGGGGCTCCTGTAATTGCAGGTATTGCAAAAGCAATGGGGATCCTGACGGTTGGTATAGTGACAACTCCCTTTTCTTTTGAGGGACGAAGGAGAGCTGTTCAGGCGCAGGAAGGAATTGCAGCATTAAGAGATAATGTTGATACACTGATTGTGATTCCAAATGACAAGTTATTGACTGCCGTTTCCCAGTCTACTCCAGTAACAGAAGCATTTAATCTTGCTGATGACATTCTGAGGCAGGGAGTTCGTGGTATCTCTGATATCATTACGGTATGTTCTTTGTTTCAAAGGCTGGATCTATTGTTTGTTTCTATATGGAGGACACCTCGTGGTTTGTTGAATCAAGCCGTGTTACGGTTGTAAGATGGCAGCTTTTTTTGCTTATACGCGTGTCCATTATCATGTTTTATGTACCAATAAAAGTTGCAACGAAATAGATATATATGTGGCCCAAAAATCCTAAAATTACTTGCCTCCGTTGTCTGCAGCAGCAACCTACAAAACCTTCTCGTCAAATTTTTGTATTCCCTTGAAGGCATTGCACTGAAATTTTGCACTTTTTTGCTGTTGGGCGAATGCCATTGTTTGTTGAAGGAGTTAATGCTTTTGACTTATCCATGATGCAAAACTTGTTAGCTTTATGTGTCTAACTGCTGAATTGGCATAAAAACACTTATGGGATACGGTATGGTAGTGTGGAAGCATTGAAGTCTCTTAACTGGAAGGATTCATTGGATTTTCATATTGGATTTTAGTGTCATTTTTATGCTTGCCTTGCAGATCCCAGGACTTGTGAATGTGGATTTTGCTGATGTCCGAGCAATAATGTCAAATGCTGGTTCTTCACTAATGGGCATAGGAACGGCAACAGGTAATTAATTACTCTAAACTTCATGGTTGAGTTGTTACTTCTACATGAGGTTGCAAATCCACCAACTGGGCCCTCTAGAAAATTGGATGCTGAATACTCAGTTGCATTGAGTTGAAAGAGGAAGCTCGGGAAGAAACAATTTTTCTTGTTCATTTGCAAACTAATGAAATTTATTAACTATGAAACTACATCATTATGTTCACTCAGTTAATCCTATAATTTTCATGGCTTGTTTATGACCTCATTAATTGAAGAGGACAAATCATTGATTCTCTACTGTTTTCCTGCTATCCCTCTATCTGTGTATAGGTCAAACAAGGGCAAGAGATGCCGCTTTAAATGCAATTCAATCGCCATTGCTAGATATTGGCATAGAGCGTGCAACTGGAATTGTGTGGAATATTACTGGTGGAAACGATTTAACTTTGTTTGAGGTACACGTCTCCTAGCATTAGACTTGAACTCCATACGTTTCCTTCTTAATGCCTGATAAAGTTATGAAGCCCTATATAACTTTTCTGGGCCTCTATGAATGTGTTTTCAAGTGAAAAATATTGCAGACTGGAAGCGTCTGCCTTTGTTGGCTACACAGAATGAACCAGTTAGAAAATTCATTCAGCATGTTTAATGTACAATAAACATACTATTACTTGCTAGAATCTTTAGTGTGTCTAGCTTCTAACAATTTTTTGGGTCGGTGTTATGATTCTCTGTGGGATCAGGCTGTAGCCTAACTGAACTTATGCTTACTTTACATCTAGAATTCTCTATCCAGAACATGCCTGATCGGTTGTTACACCGTCTTTTATTCCCTTCAACATTTACAGGTTAATGCTGCGGCAGAGGTTATATATGATCTTGTAGATCCAACTGCAAATTTGATATTTGGAGCCGTCATAGATCCATCATTTACCGGTCAAGTATGTTTGACTGTAGCAACCAACTTTATTAACAGAATTTATTCTGTTCACTCCGCCATACCAAGTTAGGCGGCAGTGCTCATTCTCTTCTGAATTGATAATAACTTCTGACTTTTCATGGCCCATCCAGGTCAGCATAACTCTTATTGCAACTGGGTTCAAGCGCCAAGAAGAAACAGAAAGCACCAGGCCCCTCCAGGTCTCTCTCTCTCTCTCTCTCTCTCTCTCTCTCTCTCTCTCTCTATCTATTCGAGGATAGACACAATTTCTGTAGCATGCTAATACTTTAACCAAAATACAGGCAAGTAAGGTAGGGTCAGGAGGAGATAGCAAGGATGGAATGAACAGGCGACCATTCTCATTTACCGAAGGTGGTTCGGTAGAGATCCCTGAGTTTCTGAGGAAGAAGGGGCGTTCGCGTTTTCCAAGAGCATAAATCAAATAGTTTCGCAGACTCTCTTTCTCCATTCGCAAGCAGATATCCTTTTCCATAATTCAACAGAGAAAACATCCCCTTTCTTAGGGTCCATGTAGTATTGCGCTGTAGGTATCTCTATCAGAGTTCCTCAAAAAATCAACAGCAACAGCAACAGCAACATCTACATGGTTTGTGTTTGATTATATAGCCATCCATAATAAGGTAGGTAATGTTTTTGTTTGTGGTGTATATCATTAGAATCTCTAGAGAAGACCAGTCAGCAGTTTGTGCTTTTTCACCCTTGTCCTGAATGCTTCAATAATTTCATGAATCTGATCAGGCTGCATTCCTAAGCGGCTTGTACATAGTATGGGCTGAGTTATGAGTTATCTTTTTCGAAAGTCGTAGATTGGTTTGCTGAGAGTTCTTGTTCTTATACATGTTAGCAGAGCTAGTGATCTGTGTTTATGGAGTAGCATAGAAATGAATAGCAAGTATGTGAAGCTGGGGACTTGCCTGTTATGTAGGTTGCTGTCAGCACCTCTGCGGGGATTTGAGCCAGAGTCTGTTTGGCCTTCAGCTGTGACCTTACCTTCCCGTTCCTCGTTTGCCAGTGCTGAATTGCTTTCTCATCTGTAATTTGGTGCATGCTACTGGGTCGATCATTCCTCGATGGGTGGTGGCCTTGACTTGGGCCGTCTTTGTTGGACCCTATCCATCAACATTTGTCTTGTGTGAAATGGGCTTGATATCATCATTCCCTGTTAATTTTCCTTGCCACAAATTAGAACGTTGAGGGAGAAATCTGTCAATGATATTTCGTTGGCGACCCCGATTTTATGAGTCAAAATTGTTCGGATAATACAACATTGCAACAAAAAATTGTATGTTCGAGTTTTAGGTGGTACTCTACTCCACGCAAAACATTTTACCCCCATTTCAATTATAGAAACCATATAGGTTTTTATTTTTTATTTTTATGAAAAGTGTCCTTTTACTCATTAAGGGAACAAATAGTGAAACCACCACCAGCGTCATACAAAAATTAATGTGCAATGTGCGAATCCGTAGGAACAAAAACATGAGCCCCAATGGGTAAACTATGGCCACGACGCCAAGCTATTGGCCAAGAAATTGGCCTCTCTACATATGTGAATGACCCTTGTCTCCCAATCTCACTGCTGGAGCTTGAGAAATGTGAGGACGAGGCTCGCATGCTGGTGATTTGTGGGCATGGCTGGCGATAGCAGGTGAACGGCTGTGGTCGAGTCAAGTTGCAACTAATCAACTTTCATGTATCCACTATCCTAGTCCAATTATAGTCCCTTAAGACCTTCCCAGAGCTTTGCACGAGTGATCGTGCATCTTTCTAGGTTCATCACAAAGGCCCCTAATAAGCGAGTCTTCCCATCTCTAAGCGCCCCTTGCAGTGATAGACCTTGATGGTTGCAACAACGAATCGTCAGAGTTCACTAGTGAGCTTTCTGCCTCTAAGATAAAAGCTAAGATATTCAGTTTATTTGTAATTGAAATCAACATATTCTTGTGAGAAGGGTCAATCACTATTTAGGTAAAACTCGCCACATCTAGATGTGATCTTCTAGTTGATAATAGACACACGAACTCCTGGAATCCTTTACAGAAATTTGGGAAAACGTTCACAAAGGAACACGAGATAACTCTCTATATTGATTGATAAACTTTTCGATGATCCATTATAATGAAACTTGACCCCTTTATATAGGTTACATAAATCAAATCCAAAACTAAGAAAGAAAACAAAAACTTAAATAACAAGTAAAGAAAATCCACCCATTACATAGCCCTAATCCTCAAAGGATTTGATTAATATCCATTCCTTCTATGCTAAGTAATTGGAATTCCTTTAGGCCAAGGACATCTCAAAGCCCCTCCTTCCATCCTTCAATCCGCCACCTTCCTCCTAGCCCATCTTCAATCTGCCATCTTCCTCAAAGAATTGAACAACATTATGAGCCTCTCTTTAAGCAGATCCACGTCCATGCTAGCAAAGTAGTTTCTCAAGTAGTTTGCAAATGGTTCCCTCAACTTCTTGGCCTTTGAATGTGTAAGATGACCTTCTTCTGGTGTAGTAGTCTTGGTATCGATGACCTCATCAGTCCCTTCCCCTTTAAAAGGATTTTCTCTCAAATCCGAATTGCTATCCATATATGGTGCAAGATAAAAAAAACATTGAAGGTTGCACTTATCCCGTACTCGTCTGGCAAGTCAATTTTTTAGGCATTATTCCCAACCTTAAAAATCACTTGGAAAGGGCCTTCACTTCAAGGTAGTAGCTTGGATCCCCCTTGATGTGAAAATCATTCCTTCCTCATATGCACCCACACCCAATTTCCAGCTTCAAACTATTGAGGCTTCCTATGCTTGTTGACATTCTTGATAGGGCAAAAGCGTATATGCCAATTTCCTATCTCGTAGTAAATCGGAAAGTCCGGGTATCGTCTCTCAGGGACTGGTACAACCTTATATTCTATCAAACTTATGAGCAAACTATAAGTGAAAATAGTTTAATGAGACTAATTTCTAAAAGCAAAATAAACTAATTAAGCAAAGTAAAATGGTCGGGAGAAATTCAATGGAGAAAGCTCTGGGAGAAACAGCGGGACTCACTACCTATCATATCCAAATTAATTCACATATTCCAATCAATTTAATCCATATCTCTACAGCTAGGATATCACTACTATGGTAGCTATCCCTGTCGGGAATTACTACGTACTAAACAATCAATTCAAATCCTACTGTCGTAGCTAAATGAATTAATTATTTAGCCTTAAGACCGACATCCCATTCAAGACCACATAGAATCTTATTTAATCCACTGTCTCTTCGATAAGTTACTATGTCACATGAAATATGTTTAGTTAATAGGGTTTCACTGTCGCTAATAACCTAATTAACTACAAATCAACGTATTGGTGGCCAGTCAACACAAAGCTTTAAGCAATTTCATGCAATAGAGATTGGAAGAAAAGAAATACGAATCAATCCATCAAATCAAGAAATAGTTACATCCTATGGTGTTCCCCCCCAGAAATTAGGGTTTAGTTCATGAAGAAATTGAGATAAAACAATAGGGTTTTGTTCATCATGTTCTAAATCAACAATAAACAACTAGTTCGGTTTAGAAAATCCAACCAACTAATCGCTCTCGTTGAACTCAGTTCAAGCCGCCTTGGAAATCTCGATCGCTAACTGTCGAACGTCAATTTTCTTACCGCCGCCAATCGCTTCAGCTGCTGCTCCTCCCTTTTCCCAAGACTAATTCGCCTCTTTTCTCTTTTCCCCAGAGAATTTCGTGGCCCAAGCTTGCGTATCCTCTTCAGAATAATTCCTCCCTCCAATTCCGTGTGTCCAATCAATTCTGCTGCCCTCTCCAAATATGTTCCCCCCAATATATTTATGTTGCTGCTGCTTCTAATTTCCCAGAAGAATTCCGCCCTGTCCAATTAATTCCTTCCCAGCTGCCATTGCTTCCCTCGTCCACTAAAAGAAAAGCCTCCTCCAAATAATTGCCAGCCCACCTCCTTTCACGACAAGCCCAGCACCCAGGCCCAAAAAAGAATCCCCAGCCCGCAAAAGTCCCGTCCCGGTTCATCTCTTCAGTAAGGTCCGGTCCAATCAATAAATAAATGTACATCCAGTCCACTTGAATTATTCTATCCACCAATGCAAATTTCTCGTTTCATTTACCTGAAATATATAAAATATTTGGCACTTGATGGTAATGGTTTTGCAACCATTCCGTAGTCAATTAGACTTTGAAAAAGCAATATATATCTCAAACATATCATGAAATAATCACATTAAGCGCGCAAAATCAATATGTTTTCGACAATTATCACAACCTTACACTCAATACTTGCTTATCCCTAAGCAATGACTCACACAAGAGGACGATAATTGGGGGAAACACAACACAGACCAAGGAGACACAACCTTTCTCAAAACACAAGACCCACGACACACAAAACACAACGATAACACAAAAAATTTATCCTTGTACACTTGTTGTAATCAGTAGTTTCTTTCTCAAAGGACAAGTTGTGCTTTAATGGTCATACCTTTCACCCCATACTCAAGTTCTTTGCAACCATTGCCAATGACTGACTCAAATCCACCAAAAACTCAATTAGCAACACTCAATTTCGATCGTCGGTAGTGGGTGATTAAAAACTTATGGTGCAGCAATTATTAGTAGACTCTAACCACATCAGTGAGGTGCATATCTCGTGAGGACAGTCTGGCTTACTCACACCAATCACAAGCAATTAATTAAGCTTGAGTCTCAAAAACTAATGGGGGAAGCCTTTCGCAAACATGATTTTAACTTTAAGCACATCACTACCTTTTATGACAAGGAGAGGCTTTCTCTCTTTCTGATTTTGCTTGCCGAGTGGTCGTATTTAGTACAAGTGGGATTTGTTTCTTACTACCGGTGACTGAGCAAGAGCAATTTCTGCTTCTTAGCACTCGCATAAGGGCTTCTTTTAACTCATTTTCCTCAGTCTGTGTGGAAGGTCATTGCATCCTCAAATGGCACTTCACTCAACTGGGGATCATACTTTATAAGCAACATGTGCAATGGCTGCCTAATCCCCATGTGAAATGGCTGCTTGCCTCACACGATTTTGGCATTTTTACCCACACTTTAATTGTTATGGCAACTTTCTTATATTTTACTTGTCAGGTAGTGTTTTCTTTTATAAAGATACAGTTCACCCCATCGTAAAACCATCAAAACAGAGAGACTCGTTGCAAAATCAAAAGCTCACAATTGATGCAAGTAAGCACGGTATCCAAACATGTCGAATGGTCAATGTTCTCCACCTAACCACTTCACCAAAAGTCGTTACACTATCCTCACAAAAGAGAATGTTGCTAAAAAAGTTTGCTCATTCAAAACATATCAAGTCAGTCAAAACATTCAAGCTCATTGTGAAGAACCATGCAATTCAACACTAGTGGGGGTGATTTTG